ACGCAGGTAGATGTTATGACGTAGGCATCCGCTAAGAAAGGATTTTGATTAATTCTACCCTCAAAGGGGATAAATTAACGCGAGCGAAGTCGCGGGCAAAAGCTAGTCGTGTATACACTCGTATATGATGATTATTAATCAAATCAAATTGGCCCTCAAAGTAGTTCCGTGGATAAAAGGCATGCAATTGAATTAAGAATTTTCAAAGTGAGCTACGAATATCAATATGCAACGGTAAGTAGATATAATCATCACATTACGATGCGACGTCACGATATATAACTCGCTCCTCGCTCGTCACTTAAAACACTTTTGCTTAACTGCTGTTATTACACTTGCAATATTGAAGAAAGCAGACTGGTTTAGTATGAAAGTGAACTCCAGTTACTTTCGCTTCAGTTTCATACCAGTATTTAAAATTGTCCATAATTCGACCTTGTAAGAGTTTAATTTAGCACTAACACTGTATGCTTCGGCGTTGCTTGTGTGAAAGAATGTAAACTTTATTAAATTTAATATTACATTATTAATGTAGTGGTTTAGCGGTTTATCTCTATATATTGCCTATGGTCACGGGTTTGATTAGTTGCACGATGCAAACATTTGTATTTATGAGTATGATTGTTTAAATTGTTTTGGGTGTTTTCGATTACCTATTACGTATGTATTTAAAAATTGTATTTAAGTATTTCTATCAGTTGTTTAGTACCCATAACACAAACACTGCTGAGCTTGGAACTAGAGGGCTCTGTATGAATAGTCCAGGGTCGTTTTAGTATTATTATACTCTTATCTAATATCTTATTATCTTTATAAAATTAGGTTTTCTGTATTTTTATTATTAATATTAAAATATTTGACAGATTTTAAAAATTCTTTGACCTATGTATATGTATATACACAAATATATATATATAGCTACATTATTAGCGAGTAACATACTTAATATTACATATAGGCACAGGACTCAAGAGATACAGTAAATACTAGATTATGAATCAAGTTCAGTCTTTAGATTACGGTGTTGCTCAAACTACATTCTGTAATGTATAGATATATACCCAGTTCTTCTGGACGTGGACGCAGATATATGAACTGAGAGCATATCTCTATATATTATAATTTACTAACATAGTTTATAAGTTATTTACTAAGACAATATGAATATAATCCGAATTAAATAAATAAAAAATAAACTGAATTATTACGTAGTTGTTTGTGCCAAACGATACAGGATGTTGTTGTACCTACCTACATTAAAGTGTAACATTTTTACTTCGATTTTCACTTCCGCTACAAAAGGACAGTGACGAATCAGTTCCATTGTCTCAAACTGCATCAATAGCAACCAAAGCAACAAGCACCTGTGCGTTGCTGTGCTGTGTTGCGTATCTCTAAAATATTTAAAATTAAAAAAAACTATAATGAGTTATGTCAAGTAATGTTAACCGCCGTAGTTTAAATGTGCGTTCTGTTTTGCCTTATTTTTAAAAAACGATTTTTTTATGGTAAACTAGTTGCCCGTGATTTTTTTCGCGTGGAATAATGACCCTGAAGAAATAAATAAAATATATTTATTAATATAACCCAAAAAAGCCAAAGAAAGTAGTTTCATCATTCTAGCTACAAAAATAATGAATTTCCATACAAATTTCATTTCTATCTGTGTACCAAATTTCATTTATATCGGTTCAGTAGTTTTGGCGTGAAAATGAGACAGACAGACAGTTAGAGAGAGTTAATTTTGTATTTATAATATTAGTAAGAGTAATTATTCATTTACACAGATTTAGAAGTGACAAGCCTCGTAACTATGCCTGAACTATAGGGCGAATTAGAGGTAAATTCCTTATTTCCTACAAAATTATTCATGTTAAGACTCATAAACTACATTAATAACTATAATACTTTCTATACTAGGTCAAAGATTATTCAATTTTAATAGAGTTAGATAATTATAATTGGTAAACTAATATTTTTATGTTACATCATATAGTATTCCAAACAAGCAATTATAATGCAGTGATTAATAGATTAATAATATGTTAATTAATACTGTCATGGGATCAATGAATACTTAGAAGTTGTTAGTTGGAAATAATGTATGTTTTAATTATTATCTCGTTTCATTTTTAATGTAAATAATATCTGATATATAAAATTCTCGCCTCACATTGTTTGTAAGAAAATCCTTCGATACGGCTTGACCGATTCTTCTCTAACTATACTACAAGTATAATACTGTGGGTATAATCAGTAGGTCTGAGGATAAGATGACTCTTTCGTCTACCCCTAAGTGGTAAGGCTAGTTACCCGCAAAATGTTTTTTTATTTATGTTTTGTCAAAATCCTTCATTCATATTTTCATCGTTCTTCTATTTTATTTTTTTATGATTCGCTATTAAAATACATTTAACCCTAAATTTTCACCCTTCTATAATGAATCCCTCATTTTAATAGAGATATTAATTTATATGGCAACACAACAATTGCTGGGCCAGCTGGATATAAATATAATAAAATTGCAACTGATCTGAACTTTCTCAATATCTTGTCCAAAAGTCTGTACGTTTATGTATGATTAAAAAAGCAGATGCTTATTATAAACTAATACAGTATACTTTCTTACCTGTATTATGTTATATTCTCTTATCTGTGGCTGAATTCACGCCAGTAGAACATATTATGTAGAAATTAATGCGTTGAAACTGGAGTTAAATACCTACAGTTTAGCTGGCCGTGTCACATACTCGGTTTTACCGGAGGCACTTTACTTGAATGAAATGTAAAAGAATATTGCAATACATTAGTCACTGTCGCGCGACTTGGCTTGTTACTATTACAGCTTTTATGTTAGGCGAATTGCACATAATATTCTATACAATAAACAATAATCTTTTCCGTAGTAGGTATATATTATTGTTTTGTTTCCTTACTAATATTACAAATACGAAAGTTTGTCTATTACCTTTTCACTACTACATGGCTGAAGAATTCATATTAAAATTTGACAGGAAGATAGTATGCTCACGAGGACGTATACCTATAAATTATATTTTTTTAATAAATAAATATCCTGGACAATTAACACAGCGCCATCTAGTCATGGTAAGCAGAGCTCGTGTTAAACATAACACAAGTTGACTAGTCTAGTACTAAACAACTTGTGTACAAAAAATATCTAAGTATTTATAATACTAAGATATTTTTTGTAAATACATACGTGATATACATAGAAAACGCCCACACCACATAATCATACTTATGGGATACAAATGTTTATACCGTACGAGGAATCGAACCCGCGGCCGTCGGAAGTAAAGTGGTGGCCATCAATTATTGCGTTAATTAATAATAAGTAAAAAGTATGATTATAAAATAAGATCACGTATGAAACTGAGTATGGATGGATGGCAAACGTTTGTTTCTTCTTAACCATTCGTCTACAGGCTGTGACTTGGACTAAATTATTATGATAATGTAAATTTATAACAACACAGACAGTTAACTGATAAATGTTTAGTTTGTATAATACATATGCAGGTGTACACTTGGCTTTATAATGGTCATATGTGATATATCAGAAAGTAAGCGGTGACCCAGTTAGTAGTAGTAGTTACCCTGTGAATGCAGCTTGAGCCTTGAAAGCCTTCAATTGTCTCTGAAAGCTAACCGTTTACCCTTAAAGCCTTTGTGAATGTTTGAAAACAATTTAGTCATTTTTGTATATTTTCTTGGATGATAGGAGTATAAAGAGAGTATAAAAGTTTATGTATAAATAACTTCTATCTACTTATCTGTTGTTTGATATATATCATTCTCAAATAACAGATATTCTTTAATGCATTTATCTTATTTTGTATAATTCTGCTACCATTAATAAGTGAGACCATAAATATTCAGTGCGGAAATCTGACTAAAACCTTCTATATTGGTGATCAAATTTCGACCGTTATTGAATGTATGATGATGTATTGAATGTATTATTTAAATGTATGGGTGTAGAACCAATATTGCGACACGTGTTTCGCCTCTGAATGAGGCTTGATCAGACATTGAATATTAAGATATTACTACTATTCAGTGCCTACCCTATTCAATATTTTAGGAGCGACCTTAACTTTTAGGGCAAAGTCGATAAAGCTTTACTACTAGAGGGAGCCATGTGATAATATACTAGATACTATACGACCACAGTTAACACTTTCAAATACTCTTTCATACTTTTAGGTCGTGGTTTTGAAATTGTTTAGTTTTTGTTTAATAATTCTCTATCTACTAGTTATTTTATCATTATTACATAGTATAAAACAAAGTCGCTGTCGCTGTCTGTCCGTTCCTATGTATGCTTATATCTTAACTACGCAACGTAGGTGGGTAGTTACCAATATTACAAATAGGTATATATCGATACAATGTCAAAACCTTCAAGAAAAGGGTTTATTGCTCTTCTAAGCATACGCACTTGTAATTCTCCTGGTGTTGCGGCGCTTACTGGAGGCGATAATCACCATCAAATGAGTCCAAAGCTAGTTTTTCTCCTTTGCTAAAAATTTGTGATATAACCACTAATGTAACGTAATTCTAAATCTAAGCAATGTTCAAGTATTATATCATATGACAAGTAACAAAATAATCTTTGGTTACGGTGGCCGAATCCATTCTGTTCCGACCATTGTTCTGACTTCATCGATCGTTGGACACTGCATTTTCTTTGTGACTACTGCGTTATATGTGTAATTTTATATTTCCTAATAAAATAAAGATTTGCAAATTCCTATCGTTTCTTTCGATGACAATCCCTTAATTAAGAAAGCACTTTCGATAAATTAACTTTTATAAATAGTGGTGAATAATGTTCCAAGCACGTCTCAATAAATAAGATAGCTATCTTGTGATGTTAATATGAGAAAAGGAAAGCATATGTTCAAAATAGACATTACTATATCCTAAAAAATTGTTTTTGCTCTATTAAGTTTATTATTTCTTTTTTATTTCAGGCGGAAGGCGTGTCAAGAATTGGTAGAAGATTACGAGGACCAACAGCATCCGATGTTCAAAGTATAACGGCAGCGGATCAAGTTGAAATAGTGCAATCTACGATTAGACCCAGGGGTAATAGGAATCGAGACGAAATACCACCACGAGAGGTACGAACGAGGTCTCAATCAAGACGACCTACTTCAAGACCAGAACCAGTTCCAAATATTGAAACAATACAAACGCAAAGTGAACGCAACGAACGATATGAGTCAAGAAGGACTATTGGTCGAACCCGTAATAGGCCTATTGAGAAAGATGATAGTACAATATCATCAACAACAAAAAGGAGTAATATTATAAGGAGTAGGACACGATTAAGTTCAAACCGAATATTGAGTACTTCAACTTTAACACCCTTAGAAAGCTCATCCCTATCTGTAGATACAACTCCTTTAACTGAGACAGTTGATTCTAACTCCGGTGATATAACAAGAACAGCATCTAGGGAAAATACAGCAAATCAATTTAGAAGAAGGAGTTCTCTTGCAGAAACTATTGAAACGGTTCCGCCAAAAAGACTAACGGGACGTATTATTACTAGACCTAGTGCAAGATCATTAGACCTTGAGGTTTCAGGTACAACAAATTCGCTATCTAATTTAAACAAAGCACCAACGACAGCCAGAACATCTGCAGATTTAAGAAATTCCCGAAAATTAAGATATAAAACACGATTGTCAGAAACTGACACAAATTTAACAGGTGAAGGAATGAAATCAAATGAAGTCATTAAGTCTAGTCAGCAAGATATTAGTATTACTAGTCAACAAGAAAATCAAACAACAGTATCAATTACAAGCACAGAAGGAATTATTATGCAATCAACTACTGAAACATTACCAGTAAAAAGTACTACGTTGAAAATAGTAAAACGTCCTTTAACCAGAGGAAAAGTAAATTTTAGACCAGTTGCATCAATTACAAAAAAAGAAGCAACTGATGAAATTAATGAAGATGACAATTATCCTGAAAGTTTCAAAGCTTTAATCCAGGCCAAAAATACATCGGTAGGTGGTACAGTATCTTGTAGTAATTATAGTAATTAAATTCTTTTTGTAACTAAAACAGATAAATCAATATTGTATTAGATTCAAAGATAATCTATAAAGACCTAATAAGGCATAGTTAAAGTCATAGATTGATGCACTATTTGGTATGAGTGACTGTAATTAGATTCCTCCTAGATAGGAGGAATCTACTTCTATTGTAGGAATAAAAAGTATTCAAATAGTGCGCGAAATAATTTATTTACGCCGATTATGGCAAAAAATACTGGAAATTAAATAAATACTGGATTGGTTTTTAACTAAATATAGCAGACATTCTGATGCTAAGTTTCCCAGATTAATATCTGCGATATTCAAGAATGAATTATAAAAAAAATTAAACTGACTAATGGGTACTGACAACTGTCTAATTAGAATAAATGCTATTTTGCAAAACTAATTTTATTAATAAAATAAATACAAAATACAATTATATTTAATCCGATCATCAGAATAAATATTATAAATATTATTAATCAATTATGATAATTACATTAAACTACATTGCACCATAAACTTAATTTTCAGACGCAAGCGAGCTCTCCTAATGGTGAGAGCTTGACATTGAAAGCATCACAAAAAGTTTACAAATCATACACAACATCACCACAAACAACAAATACGGGACCTGGCATTAATAAGTACTCAAGGGTAAACTTAAATATTAATATTATAATAAGTATTAATCAAATACAAAAGTTAAGTATCAATTTTTGTATTTAATTATACTTATTCACTTTACATTACTGTGAGAGATTAAATTAAAGCAAAAATGTAAAACATTTTAGCCGCTTATAAACGTCAAGTTTTATCTAGTGTGTATACTATACGTTACAAAGTAAATTTAAACTTTTGGGAAGAAACGTCAGAAAGTTTTTATACTTAAATATTTTTTACAGCTGCGCAATAAATTGAACGTACAGGAAGGATCCAAGAAAGAAGTCAAGGAAGAGGAAAACCTATACATAGTAACACCAGTAGCTACGAAGCAAAAGAATAATGAATACAAACCTCGGGGTACTTTTAATCCTAGAGCGAGAAAATTGACATCTTTTAGTCCTCCAGTCAGCACCACATTAGCAACAGCTTCGTTTAGTCAAAGTACGATAAAACCGGCATACAAATATAGTAGGATGTTAAAACTTACAACAACAAAATCACCGGAAATCGAAAATAATGTGACAAGGACATTAAATAATACATCTTCAAAGAGTAATGTCATTAGGCGACCATATTTTTCTCGTAAGAGTTCAAACGCAAAAAATAGAATCAGTAATGCAAATAATGTAACGAAAACACAAACGCTTGAAAATAAACCAGATGATACGGTTTCATTAAAAAATGCAAATGTATTACCTAGAACATCTTATTATTCTCGTTTAAGAAGTAATAAAAAATCAACAACATCAACAACCGCAGCGCCTAAAGAAATTACAAATGATATTGGATCCATTGAAAAAAAAAGTGAAGATATTTCAGATATGCCTTTAATTTTTACATTGCTCAAAAGCCCTACTGTTGCTGAAGTAACTACTGATAGAAATAAAATAAATGATAAAGACATGTTTTTAATAGCAGTTAGTAGTAAAGAATATCAAGAAGAAAAAATTGGCAATGACATATTAAACACAGCAGAAGAAACTGAAAATAAGCCAATCGTTAATAATTTATCGACAGTAAAGTACCATTCTATTTATAAAGAAGATGATTCTATAAAAAAATATGAAAATACAGAATCTACTACCCAAAGTGTCTCAACAACTACTGTTGTAAAAAACATTGTAACACGAAAACATACCCGTAAAAATGCAAATTTACATAAAAAAGAAGTTGAGAGTAGAACAGTGACGCCTAGGAGTTTAGAAAGAAATTCAAGAAAATATAGTGATAAATATTCCAAAACAACGGAGGCTTCTACCAATGGCGTAAGTATATTTGTATTAAATACGTTTTCATTTTATTAGTTACTTAACTAAAAATTCGAGAATTGTTATTAATAATCATTTACAGATAATCCCAGAGCCAGATAAACCTAAAAGTAAATTTAGCTCAAAATATCGAGCTTCGTATTTAGATAAGCCATTTTATAAACCCACTGTACCCACCATCACATCATCAACTGTAAGTAATCATCCATTTATGATCTAAAAAGACATATGTTTTAATAAATTGAATATCAATAGCTATAATTATTCTAAATTCAACAAAGCCCCTTTATAAGATTGGCATTAAGATTTACTACACATAATTAACAATTTGCTAGTTTATTTTGGAGATAGAAATATGTTTTATGATCTTCTTCTAAATGTAATTAATGAATTTTAAATGATATATTTGTATGTGTTTACACACGGGTTAATATTTCATGAATTTAGAAATTCACACATAATATGTACATCTACTTTCGAGAATATACGAGTAGGTATTGTATTTTTATCTCTATAAATAAACTTTCAATAATTTTACCTTTTTCCATCCGCTCAAACAGCAGTAATCGTTGGTTGTTACATACAAAACTTAATCACATTATTCTCATTAATTTTTCATCAGTCTCATAATATTACAACTAATCATACTTAACAATTATAACTAAATCATTTCATTATAACCAATAATAATGAAAGTTTCTTGTTACCGAAGGCTTGGCTGAAGTTCTTCATCACAGACAACGTGTTGACAAAATCTGTAGAAGAGCCATATTGGTTCGAAGGGGCAGACTTTTCTGATGTAGCCACACAATCGATATCAAGCCAGAATGTCACCGCGCCATCGATCATTCACGAATCACCTTTAGAATTGGTTAATGGACTCATATAAGCATAGTTTTATCATTACTGTTTCACAAGCATTATTCCACATATCATTTACACACTTGTAAATTCTCAATTTCGTAGAGATTCTGATTTGGCTATAGGTTGCATAAAATGAATCTCTGTGAAAATAATATTTATTAGTTTTATAAGAGAAGTTTTTGCGTTATGATATTTAATTAACTATTACCTGATATATTAGTAAAATGATTAAACTGAATTAAGTTACAAACGCATGAACTTTATTGACAAATAATTTAGTATATTATTTATTATACTATAACTATACTATACTAACGAGCATAAACAAAACATTAAATTGTAATATTTTATATATTTGTTTTAATATGTAGAAAGTTCACCCTGCCCATTTCATACTACTAACTTCGAATCTATCTTTTAATTTTAATTCCAAGTATTATAAAGTGGCTTTGGTCTTTGCACGATTTTCCATTTGTCTCTTTTAGGATTCCTCTTTTAGTATCTTATATTTTCACAGCATACTACATTTTCATGACTACACCATCTTTTTTCTATTTATATGGGTGAGCATAATTCTTATTTCAGGTAGAGGGTGAAGAAATTGAGTTAGGCTCAGACATGAACTCTATTACTTTCACCAAACCACGAAGTAAATTATACTCAGCAGACCTGAGGCTCTCCGAGAGCCTCGTTAAACCATCACATGTTATGAACATAGAGGCTTCACATCACTCGCCTTCAGTTACAGTATCTATTTTTGATGCATTAGCTGAAATTCTAACTTCTACACCGAAAACTCGATTGTCCTCAACCACAGAAGTATTAAAAAAGACAAACATAAATAACGATGTATTACAAACACTCAACGGCGTGAGTAATAATAATAATGTAAATAATGTTCGAGCCTTAGACAGTCAAGACACATTAACTTCAACTAGTATTAATATGAACACGGATGCTAAACTTGTACAGAATACTGATCCTACACCAAATGTGAATAATGGTTTTTCGGTTGGGGAAAATACTACACCGTCACTAAATACAGAAGAAAGAAATGTAACTCCTGTGAATATGGCACAACCTAATACTGTCTCTATTCCTACACCCATCCTTACGACTCCTATTTCCGCTAGGCGACCATTTGCTATTAAAGTATTATATTCAGCAACAGAATTATCAACAGACAAATCCACGACTGCATTTGAATCAACATCTATTCAGGGATCGACAGACACACCATCAACGGTATATAATACTGTATCTGATCTTCTAATACCTAGTAATAATTTTGTATCCTCGGAACTAACTAGCATGCTATCTAATAATATATTAGATATTATTCAGAATATGGATGAGAATAGTAGAGTTAAAGTATCTTTAGATATGGCAAAATTATTGAAAACGCTGATTCCTAGAGCTTTGGACAATCTTGCAACTACAATAGAAGATGTAGATAACTTACCAAATACCACTCCCTACAGTTTGGAGGAGATTAGAGATACAGAAAACATTGAATTAAAAACGGATCCAAATGTCCTCCAAAATGTAGCTGATGTAAATAATGTAATTACAAGCACTGTAACTACACAAATTAATGTACTAGTTAATGACACTCAATCTGTAAATAGCACTTATAATATTTCGACAACCGCTTTGCCTATGTCAAGAAGTCAGTCAACTAATACACTTATAGATGAATCGTTTAATTCATCATCTAATAACATACCAAATACTACACCAATCAATATGATTGTAACTAGTTCTGACGTTCTAGACACAGACACAGTGATCGTAAATAGTAATATTGATTTTGCTAACAGACCTATTCCTACTCCATTTTTCACAAATTTTCGTGTTCTAGATGAAACTTCTAGTATGCCTACAGAAAGTAAATTGGCTATGCCGACCCCACTTTCTCAATTTACTAATACACAAGACCCAAGTCAAGTGTCGCCATTACAATTATGGGTATTGTCCAAAAAAGCTCGAGTTTTAAAAATGATCGAAGATCTTATACAACAACATAACAAAGAATTAGCTACAGCTCTGCCTATCAGAGATTCTGATGTGGTTGAGTCTGATAATATCCCCCTTTCTAACCGGTTGACTAATATTATGAACATATTTACTTCAACGACTTCAACAACTGAATTTATTAGCACTACTGACAGTAATGACTTAAATACCCCTGAAATTATTCCTTCTACTACTACTCTAAATCCTAATAGAACATCATCGCGTGTGGATACGTTGATCAATAGAAATAGTCAAGATAACCAGGTTACATTTGAAGACAATGCTTTAACAACAATATCGGAAGATGTTCCAAAGATTACATCAAGTACTACAGTTTCACAAACTTCAGATCTAATATCTGAAAGTACAACTTCTATGACAACTGCAGAGTTACTTACAACATTACAAGTAAGCACACAAGATAATACTGAAACTACAACAGACACAGGATTTACCGAAACAACAACTCAAATTAACATGGACAGTATATTAAACATAGATACAAAAACAAGAAATCAAGTAGATAACGATACTAAATCAATAACAGGTATAGACGAAGCAAGACAAAGTTTAATTTCAGCAGTCTTCAATGAATCTGTTGTTGGAACAACAATTCCGAAAAAAGATTATGTAATATTTGGAATATTGCCAAACGATACAGTGGTACGTAAAGATCCTAACGATGACATATTGGAATCATTAACAGAAGCAAGCCCTTACATCATTTATGGCGTACTACCCAATAACACAGTAATACGTAAATTTCCAAATGGAACTAGAGTACCACGAGTTATGCAAAAAATTGAGGTACTACCAATCAGCCCATGGAATCTAAGAAACCCATATAGCCCCATCCATAACAATCCGGCTATTGTAAGGCCGAAGTCTAACCCCATCCGAGTATCCACTAATACTGCGATATCCACAAATACCACAAATAACGAAACGGATAATCGTTTAACCACCGACACTGTAAATAACCAACAACTGATGGTATTGACTTTAAGTTGTTTAGCTTGACTGAGCTTGCTGCTTTATTTCACTGTATGCCAGGTTTTGGAGCACTGTTGGTGCATGCGGTTTTGAGGTAGTCTTTGGTATCATCCTAAGCTATGCATGTCTAATGTACTTTAAAGCTTAAAAATATTAACAAAGCATAAGCATAACCATTTATTTCATAATTGCAGATCTCTTCATCGGCACTTAATATAAAAGATAGTAGTTCATTGGGCATAACTACTACCACAAATACGCCGCCTGCTGAATTAAGCACTGCCTCGCATGTATTGAGTTTACGCACAACTACAATGCTCCCTTCCATTGATGAAATTTTGCTTAATAGTATATCTTCAGCTGTTAAAGAGGAAACGGTCATATCATCAATGATGAGCTCTACTCATCAACCGAGAATATTAACACTGGATATTGATCCGGAGGTATAATTATTATTTACGTCGGTACTTATTTGGTTATCCAATAATATTTGCACATTCAATTAGTATTACTTTTTACAATAACCTATGGGTATGTGAGGCAAAATAACACTCATACTATCTTTATCATAATATAAATTAAAACCAACATTTTAGATTGAAAGGTAAGTGGTGATGGTTTAGCTTAAAACATTTTAAATGGTGTACGTTTAGAAATGGATCCATTCTTAATGGCAATATTGTTACAAATAAATAATACTCTTCCTGTATAATTACAGACTAAACAAATACGGACAGAAAAACCTGGTAATGAAAATGGAAATGCAATATTCAAATTCATTCCGATAGATGAAGTAACAGTAGCTCCACAAAATTCAAACGTACTGAAGTTAGCTACAAAAGCATCACCAACTACTAATACTATAAATAATGAAATTCAAAACACAACAGTAAGCGAGACGAATATACAATTGCCACAAATAGAAACGCGTATTAAAACTGATACAGTGACTACATCAATACAAGACTCTTCTTCGGCTACGAATACTGAAAAAGCATCAACATCTAGTATTACTACTGTTACTACAACAACTGAAACTATGCCACCGACTACAATATTAGGCACGACGACAACGGAAATACCTACTGTAACAACTACAGTAATGCCTATAACCACTGTACTGATTTCCACAACAACTACTGGTGCTCCAATAATAACAACAGAACTTCCAGTACAAACAACAACAACTTCTTTTTCAACAACAATAACAAATAGGGCAGAAACTACAGAATCAATATCTTCAACTACTTTATCTCCAACAACAATATCCCTCGCACCTGTAACTATTGAAGAGGAAAAAAGATATCAAAAAGATGCTGAAATACTCCAACAGTTACTACAAGTTAATCGTAACTCTAAAAACATTAACGTAAAGGCAAATACTAGTCCAATATTGCCATCTACTCAAGCAACTCAGATAACACCTAACACGGTTGTACCTCTTGTATCTAATAAAAACGAAGACGCTAAACTTTTACAAGAATTATTTTCTACTGCTAATATAAATCCGAATCCATTAATTACAAACAATGGTGGCAATTCAAACATTCCTATTGGGAAGACTACTACATCTCGTTCAATAGAAGATGATTTAAGGCAACTTGAAGAAGATACGAAATTATTGAAAGCTTTATTACAAGCTACAGGACAAAACCCAAATAACTTTAATTTACCAACATTTGATGTTAAACCAACAATTAAAACAACTCCTAGTACAGCATCAAGTATTACAACAACAACTACAACTCCTACTACTACTACAACTCCTACATCGACAATAAAAACTACAACGCAACCAACAACTACCTTTAGATCCACAACATCAATTGATGAAGATCTAAAAAAATTACAAGAAGATACAAAATTATTACAAACATTATTACAAACAGTTGAACAAAATACAGGGAATGCTAGTCCACCTGTCATATCAGGAATAACATCAAATGTGAGAATAGCGTCTAACCCGCTAACTACTTCATTAGAATCCAATCCCACAACACCGTTAAATGTCCGACCTGTTTATAGTTCAGAAACTACAACATCAACATTTCCTGTATTTAGTTTTGTGCCTAGAACTGTTTCAACTACATTACAGCCAGGTACCAGTACAGTGTCAGAAAATATTAAGATTTCTACTACCATCTCTCCAAGAACCACAACTGTGACAAGTTCTCAACCAGTAACGTTAACGGCACGTCGGGCACCTGTAACACGATTCTCAGTTACTACAGATCTCCCCAGTACTTCTACATTTTCTGTTGAAGAAGATTTGGCTTTCCTAAAGAATTTGGTAGGTTTTTTATGCAATTTGAATTAATGAATTTATTTGTGTAGTGCTTTGTATTATAATATTGTACTACAAATAATACACTGTATTAATAAATATATTTTTATTATTAAATATTATTTACAGCGATAGAAAAACTTTATCAATGAATATTATGCCATAACTGATTAGTTTATTAGTTTTGTTACTAACATTTATATCTACTTTCTGTCTCACTTATTGTTACCGCCACGCTTATTTTATAAGTCATATTTTGGTTTAAATTGTAAAATTTTAACACCAGTGGTGCTATTCATGTATATATTTTGCCACTATTCATTATGTAGGCCACTAGAGTTTTACCATTATAGTTACCTAACAAATAATTTATATTATTCGCCTGATCTGTTAATATTCGTTTAATATTTATTTTCAGAAATCAGTTCTAAAGACGAATCCAAATAATGACGATCCCGAAGTATCCTTGGCTAATCGCATTATAGCTTTAGCTGTCGAGAAAAGTTTAAATGAGATAGAAACAGGAACCTCACCAGATACTACTCGAAAAGGAAAAACTGTTGGCAATAACGTACAAAACATTATTACAACGACACCACCCACTACAACAACAACAACATCTACCACAACTACAACACAGCGACCAACAACCACACTTGGAACAAATATTCCATCTATTGAGGATGATATTAAACAATTCCAAGAAGATACAAAACTCCTTCAAGCTCTTATTAAGGCAACAGGCCAAGACCCATCCAAATTTAATATTCCAACACTACCTAGTTTAACAACAAGAGTAAAAGTAAGTCCAAAACCTACTGCAAATGCCAATATAAGGGCACTTTCAAAACCAACATCGTCTCTGGCCTTAAATGAAACACCCAATACTTTAAAAAAAGTTAATGTACAAATGACACAAACTAATACTGACTTGACTAAACCTTTCGGAGCAAAAATAGCTGTTAAAGATGACTTAAAAACTGTACAAGATCAGGAAAACTTATTAAAAACTCTGGTGAAATTGCAGGATGTACAGGAGACGACTACACAGAAGAATAAATTGACTATTACAGGTAAAATTACAATTTATTATACAAAAACAGAATCGAATCGATTTTGGAAATTTGACTGATGTCTTTACAATTTTAATTCCATATAAGAAGTTAAAATGCAAATAAAATATTGCCAGTCCTACTCACTATTGTCTTTATGTACATCCTTTTTGTTCTACTCATAATTTATATTCTATTTTTGGATGCTATGCTAGTTTTGGATATGATATTGAAAATTAAATTGCAACTGTTTTCGAATTTCAGGACAGACATCTGATGAAGCTTTAAAGAAACTGCTTCAACAACAGAGCAAGCCAACAGGCATGGTGTCCGAAGCGACACAGGCGCCTATGTCCTTAAGTACCGAATTTGGAAAGAGCAATGACGCTTTGCTAGCAGCGCTACTTAAGGAGCAAGGATTTGGGCCTACTACGGCAAGTTCCACAGATGAACAACTTAGACTTTCCGTTAGTTCCATATTTTTATATATAATTTGGTTTTCTTTAATTAATACTATCCTCATATCATGTGATCATGTTTAATGTTTTGAATGGAAAGTGCATAAATAATCTTAAACTCACTGCCACCGATTATTATAATTATTCATAACTATTCTCACATACTGCTTACATTAATTTTTGTTAATGCTTCTTTAATATGAACAATCAAGTTAATTAATAATATGTCGTTTCGTGTTTCATAATAATACAATTTTAGCTGACTATAACCTCGTAGGCTTTGCTCAACCAAGTGGTAGTGACACCAAAAGCAAGACGAACAACGACACTTCCACCGCCTCCACAACAAAGAAGACCAATTCTAGATGGCTTAGCATGGCTGTGGCAGCAATGGAGAGAGACTGCTCCAGGACCCACTTCTGGAAGGGTCAATCAGCGACCAAGTCCGTCAGCTTATCCAACAATCTCATCATCAGCGGCCACTAGCAACAGGGTCAACTGGTTTGGCTCTGGACCTTTTGTAGGCAATGCTGATGAGAAGCCATCTTCAAACAGAGTGGGTTTTGCATCTCTTTTACTAAAATTGTGTGACTGGGGTTGAGGTGATGGTAACAGATCTTAGATTAAATAAAACAGAGTAATAATTCTTTTCTCTAGTGAGCTACTTTGAGTGCATATGACGTTCCTATTTAATCTAAGTCTGATTTGAGTGTAAATTTTACATTGGAGTTTGGAGTTGCATTAAGTGTAAATAGAAAATTAAGTATTATATTAAAAATATATGTACATATATTGTATATTGAAATACAATTAAATATTTATTAAAATTAAATTACATTGGCGTGTATAAAATTTAGAGAAGTTTTTTAAAATTTTTGATGTAAAAGTTTGCGTTCGTAACTTTTAGTAATATAAGTAGCAAATTTAAAATTTGTAGAAGTGGTATCACTTTTAACGAGTATGGTATATATAACAAACATTTAACCAGGGTAACTTAATTATCGAGTATAATTGATTATTAATTTTATACTGATAAATTTAGATTTAATAGTTAAACGGGTTTTGACAAGAATAATTTTATAGAAAATAAAGGTTATTTACATTCAGTTAAAATCCGTTTAACTATATATAATACTAGGCGCGAAAGTTTAAAAATAATTAAATTTAGATTTTATAACCTTTTTTGTAAATAATAAGAAGATGGAAGTTAGATATTTAAAACTTTAAACAATTTTGTAATTGACGATTGAGCGGAAGTAGTAGGGGGAGGGTGCTCTTTGTAAATTTTCTGTTACTATTAAGCTAATGCATGCCAATATTTAGTTAGTTAAAGACGTCATTTATCGGTAAAATTGTATAAAAAATGGAATTGAAAAAATATAACTTTTTACAATTTCTGAGTTTTTGGAGAAATTAGTTTGAAAAAAATATTTTTTATTCCATTTTTTCAAGTAATAATTAACTATAGCAATAGTGAGTATAGTTAATAGCACGCTTTGCAGCAGTACTGTAAATATTGTTCACGTATTGTGTGAATTAAACCTTTACAATCAATTGTCCTCCAAATTAACTGACCTTACTTTGATTTACCTCCAAGAAACACCCATAATCCTAATGGTAATTAATTGAGGTATTATTATTAGCAATAACTCCATAGTGATTATAGAAAATGCTTAATAAATCTTGAAGGATAGTAAAATGGGTTTATGTAAATATTAACTGTGTCATCAAAATGTTACATTTGTAAATAAAATGTGTGTAAGTGTAACGGTAGTGTAAATTTTCGGGTAAGTATGATAATTATTATTTTAATTGTATTATACTTGTTTTAATAAAACACACGCTTAAATGCTTATCACATTATAACTATACTATAATTTGTCCTTCGTGTATTTCTCCTACTTTCTACAAATTTTGTAAATATGTATTATACACACTTTTATATATGCACATTTAGTTTTTATGTTTTATTTTACATAGTTATCTTAAAATACTTTCGAAATCATCTATCTGCAGTCTATTATTATAAAGTAATAATTATATTATGTATTGCTGATGTAGCATGATATATAATTTAAGTAACAATTTACTATTCTATTTAATCGGAGAACTGTAACTAGATACCCCTGGAACCTCCGAGAACTGTGACATCTGAACAGACTCCGGGGCGAGGACAACTCGTGTCAGCAGCCATAAATGTTACACGAGCATTCTCGCAATTTTTAGGGGCAGCCATACAGGTACTATTTCAATCTGTATTTAAAACAATGTTATGAATAAAATTTTTTAAAGAACAATATTCCTTACCTACGAGTATAAGGATGGTAATGCACCTGTAATTCTCCCAGCGTTGTACTCACCTGATCAAGTATGAATAAAATGTGTAGGTCTAATAAAGGGTAAATTTTCATCGGTATCATTTATCCCTAAAATACAATAACAATGATAATTTTTCAAAATCACCACATCAAAATCATAACTAATTGCCAGCAAAGACATAATACGCTACCAACTAAGTATATTTGATTTTTTTTTTATAATTTTAATGCATCAATTGGCTTACTTATTATACTTTTTTACTGTAATACATTTTATTTCAGGTCTTTTTAATGCATTATATAATGTTAGATATTTTCAGCGATTTTCGTTACTCGCTCGAAAAATATTGTTTAAAAATATGTTACTAAATATTAGCTGTATACCAAATTTCTTAAGGATTCTCGAAAAGGCAACAATCAAATAATATATTTACCATTATAATAATTAATAGTCAGATTGTTTATGATGAGTAGTACAGTATTAGTCAACCAATATGATTATGTCTTAATACCAGTTAAACATTAGAGTTGTATCTATCAGAATTAAACCGGCATTAAATACTGATTTATACTGGACCAGAAATTATACATATTAATGTTACACCATATAGTCATGTTCGCGATAATCTTAAACACCCCTGATCGGATTTTCATACTGTTACCATCAATCAACAGAGGAAGCTTATATGTATAATTCATTGAGGTTTACATAAAACCAGTTAATTAAAATGAAAAGCCGGAGAGAGTCGTTACTGTAGTATGAAATCAGTAACTAGTAATAATTTGTCATCTTTAAATACTGATATAATTTTATTAAAATTACAGGGAGCTGCACAGACTGTTCAAAATGTGATACGAGCAGGGCAGCGGGTGGCGACCGACGCATACGTCGGCGGCTCAGGGGGATCCGGTTAATATTTGTAGTGTAATAGGACGTCAAACTTTTCCGAAAGTGTCATAGTACGCATTATATGTTGCGAGTGCTCAAATGTAAATAGTAAAACTGTTACGTAATTTATATTTATATTTACTGAATCCGTGCCTTGCGGGACTACCGAAAGTATTTGATGAATGAATCGGTCAAATGCTTTTCATAAATCCTTCTGTAAAAATCTTTACGGTTCTATCTTGTAGAACATTTCTTTTTAAGATGTGACCTTTTAAAATGTTCCTAAATGCATATAGTTGAACATTTTTAAATGTTGTTTAATTAATGTGAACTGAATGGACTTTATGTAGTACCATACTCCTTTAGAAATGGTATTGTTGATTAGTTTCTCAGGAATTGTAGGACTTATATAGGCAAAGAATGTGATGTTAGTACTATTTAGTTTGTATTATTTAAAATGATATTTTGTACATTGTCTAAATCTATAAAATCTTCCTTGACTTTTTTAGGGAAAAATATATTTCTGTACACTATGAAAAACTACAGAAAGCATTAGTTTTCTTTTTTATTCTTGTAAAGAAAACATTTCTTACCATTGAAAATTAATAATATCTATAGGTGAGCTTGATATTTATTCTTCACTCTGATTAAAAATATCATACTAGTTATAAGTTGTGTCTACCATTTTACCTGAATTATAGAACAGTGTTAGTTTCTCTTCGAATATCTTAATACCTGAGAATTTTAAGATTTGGTAGGTTAAGTTCTGTCTAACTTTAAGTCTACATGTGCCATTTAGCACGTGCTTGGTGTATTCGCTTTTCTTTCTTTATTTTCTTACTGTTATTTATTTATTTATCAACATACATTTATACTAGTATTTATAGCTGGTCATAAAACACATCTATAGTCAGATTTAAATATACACATATTAAATAAAAACATATATATTTTTTATATTTCATCAGAGTCACCCACGATTTATTTTAGGTTTAAAGATAACAAAAATATAATGCACTAATTGTTAATTTTTTAAATAATCTGGATTATATTAACGTTTTGTATTACAACTTGTCACTGCCTTTATATTAGTAAGTAAGGATGGAGACGTTAGAAAGTAAGACTGGTTGTTTAGGAAAATAATTTTGGCATACTGATGACTCCCCAGGCGACTAGGGGAACAAACCACAAATACACTTACACGTGAGGGGATAAATTGCAAATAAACTCTTATGCCAGTGGAAATGTTACGAGTAGGCTCAGTACTTCTCTTATGAGAGAACACGTGCCCAGTAAGATGTTTGTAGGCTGAAATTATGATGATGATGAATTTTTTAATTGTATACTTTTCTTACAACATAAATGATTTTCAAATATATTTAAATAAATATTAGTATGATTTATTAAATTAACTATTATTACATATGCTAGCATATTTTTATACAATGTACGTAAGTAGTGATATAGATATTGCAATTTGTTATTTTTTCTAACTTCTCTAATGCTGTTGGGTGTAGCTGGCCTTTACAGCTTCACCAAATGTTAGAAGGCGAGTGATTGCGGAGTGGCTGAAGGGCATATCCTGCCTGACGGATACGATATTAGTCTGAGGGATTTTAAACCTCGACTCAGGTCAGGCGTTAAAATTTCGATCCCTGTTAGAAATGGCCCGGAGGTCGATAAGATTGCATAATAAGGCACAAACCAATAATTAATTTTTCTTAATTTTCTACTCACACTGTTACATATTAATAATCTACATTATTTTAAATTTTATAATAATTTTTAAAATTTTTGTAAATTTCATTTTACTACCTTCAAGATATAATGCAATTGATTTATATATAATCATTTAATAAGACGCCTTGTAGTTTGTAAAAAATAATCTTTTATATTATTCTAATGTCATGCAAAATTTTCTTACATGTCTGTGAGCCATAATGTTTTAATTATTAGCTATTAATATGGGATATTATATTTTTTTTTATTTGATAATATTGAGTTTCATCTTTAATGTAGTAGTAAAGTACATTGTCATTTGAATATTTTTGATTCAATAGGCATTTCTTGTTTATTTGCCAATAAATATATATGTATGTAGCTTAATTACTTTTTATACTGTATTGTACTTGATTATAATTATCAAGATCGATGTAAAACATGCAATTAAATTAATTTATACATGGAAATTTTCTTATTTAATTCATTAGGAACTTCTAGTTTGACATCCCGTATACGTTGCTCACCCGAAATATTTTCCTGCTAGTCTTTGAAACTTGAAACGTAAAAAAATGAAACACTTGAAGGCTTTTATTTTGTTTTAGGTGGGGACAATGAAACAAAATGTACTCGCCATAGGAAACGTGACATTTTAAATATGCAACTAAATTTATTTATTCACTGACTATTCTTATTATATTGTTAAC